TAACAAGGCTTTGTGCATAACGTGAAAAGACTTAGAACAAAATAGGTTATTATATGTGGCACTTTAATTTAAAATTATGCGGTACAAATTGTAGCGTATTGTATAAAAGAAATATGTACACTACCACCTAGGTTATATGAGTATAGTACAATCTCTAATTGGAGATAAGTCTTATAAAAAAACGCATTTGGCGACGATTGGTAAATCAGTACAAGGCTCAGAACTCACTTTAAATCGGAAATTGTGCTTACAAAATTTGGTTTTCCGTGGCGAAATTTTATACAAACGAAAATTGCAATGATTCAATAATTTTAAATTCAAAGCAAAAAATAGTACGTATATGAAGGGTACAATATGAGCGAACTCAATATCCACAAGGCGATGTTTATATCAAGTATAAATCCTGAATAGTAACTATCGCACGAGAGAGCTTGCAAATTTCATAAGATTTTTGCAAGAACTTCCATAATATTGCCATTCTAATCTGACTGATACTTGAAAATGCGAGACGAATAGGATTCATAGACAAGTTTAAGCCCGACCTAATGATTAGTCAGAGTCAAGACGTAACGCTAAGAATGACCATTTGTCAAAATCATATTAGATTTATACGAGTGCCATTCTTCACAGTTCACACATCAACATACTCTCACTACATACGTCTCAATGAATACACTCCCATTTGTCACAGATGGGAAGGTCTCGCTTAGAATCACGGAATCTAAAGATTGTTACATGTCTTTCTAAAGAAACAAATTAATGTAACTATGAAAAAATCAATAATCAGAACAGCGTATAAAATTATTTCGTCACCAAATTAAAAACTATAAATACTATAATAATTATCAGTGCATAATGACTAGCTTAACAATAAATTCGTTAGATTTATCAAATAATAGACTTATATGTGTGAAAATTTGTGTTAAATTTATTTCGTTTTAAATAAAATTATCCTAATGATAGTTAAATTATTACTAGCATTATAAGTCTACGCAGACTTCGTTAAGTATAAATTGACAAAACTAAAATTGCTTACAGAATCTGTTTCAAAAATTAATTTTACAGGTTCGATTCCGCAAATGACAAATGAATACAACTACACGATTCTAACCGATTCGCCCAGTCGGCTAATTTAATTATCGTTAGTAATTACTATAGTTGCGGTTCGCTCGCATTCTTGTATTATCAAACTTCATATCTAAAAAAATCATTTCTTGAAACTATTTCATAGGCTCAATGGTATTCCATACAATAATCAAGACCTTTATAACACTTCGACCTATTACGTCATCCATCTAGGGTCTCGCTTATTTATTGAATCGAAAAACGAATGTAAAGCATTCGTTTTTCACGTACCAATTAACTAAGGCCAGGTTCACACGGCATTGTCCTGCACGTTTTTTTAACAGTATACGTCTTGATGAATAAATAGTGGCACATGTATTGTACATAGATCCATTCACACGGCGTTTGTACTGCAAAATATCCTACACCGTTTATACGTTCAAACGAATACTCAACAGACTTGTCAAGCAAATCGAATGAACTTTAACGTTAATTCGGTTTAAAGGGGCACATATTATAGCTCTGTCTCGTTCTCGCTCACTGTGACAACTGTGTGAAGACTGCGGCTATTCGTATTCTACACGAATGAATATCTACCATGTAAACACCCGGGTGAAAGAACGTTAAAAAAAAGAATACAAAGAAAACGTGCAGCACAATGCCGTGTGAACCCAGTCTAATTGACGTTTAATCCAAACGTTTTAACCATCGGATGAATGACACCGACTGACCATTTAATCTAAGAATTAATTTACGTAATACCGAAGAACAAAAGATCATTGTCCGATGCCATATATGACTAGTGGAGAATTATGAAACATTGGAACAATTGTTTTAATTGAAACTTATCTTCACTATATAGAATCATTAAATCTTTACCGGTACTTGACAACTATCGAAAAATTTTTCGTATACGTTATAATGGCGGGCCCTGACAACGAACACTAATATTTTATATAGAACTTAAATCATGACCAAAGTATATCTGTTCGTGTTTTGTAAGATACAAAGCGCTTAACAATTTCATGAAACACTTTTTTATATTATATTACGTTAACTATAAATTTTACGAACATTCATATATATTATTAAAATTAACAGTTCAGACTTTAACCTTATGTCAAAAACGTATTTAATTTTGACATATGAAAGTCATAGATACTATAAAGTGCTGTGGACCACAGTAATTGCCGTCATTTGGTATCGTTTGCGAAATCGATCCTTTTATTATATGAATAATTATAACACGAGTATTTACAGTATTTTAGTAATGTACTAAATTTTTTTCGAACTTCGTTAAAGGAGTTAGTGCTCATATTGTTATGATACCACGGGTCATAACGCGGAGAAATAATTTGTTATGTATACAATGACAACTTAAAGATAGCCATAGATATTTATTTAATTTTAATCTAGGATCTTGGGTTTATAGATTTCTTCGCTCAAATTATGTCTTTGCTTTATATACCCAAAATACATGTTTATGACCAGTAAGTTAAAAGAACCCGTATTAATAAAAATTTCTTAAAACGCTATTTCTCACTTATGTATCCATAGATAAATTGGCGTAAATACAGATAATACGAAGAACAGTCATAGACAATAATAAACTAACTCCTCCAACGTATTAGTTGTCAAATTATAGAGAATTACAAAGTTATACGATAATATATTACAGCTTATCTATTATTATGATATATTTTACATAATTACATTCACTGTCGCATCCGCAATACACAAAGCATTAACTGCTTATTTATCACATTAAAAGGCGCCAGTCCAAGTTTAAATTATTAATTGCGGCTTTATTATTAAAAAACACTTTTAAAAAATGGTAAATCATTTTCATATCAATTCAGAAAACGTAACGAATTAATAGTAATTATGAGCATAAACTATAAGTTTCATTAATCATGCGGAAACTAAAAAAACCGAATAAATGTTAAGAGAACTTCTTTTCAAAATTTGGAAGTCCATCGTTTAACTTTTACCTAAATTAACGAGTTCGGTGAATAAAAGGAATCCCAAAATACATCCGTAATACCACCCATATTGAATTCTTGTTCGAGCCACTTCAGTCACTTGAGTTTATTATGATAAACGCTTGGCTTAAAATTATCATAGATCGACTTTCGGTGATGTTTGAGGGCATCAATGATTAGCTATAAATAGATTTTGAAGAGTTTTAAACGTCATACTAAATATTTGAAGAAAATATAATGTGAATAGTTGCACGGTAATTGTTTTCTAGTGATTGCGGAACTATAGTTTAAAAAAATGTTGACGAATTCGGCGTCATTACTCTGTAAATCCCAATATATTTTTTTACTACGCGATCCCCAGGTTACATCAGTGCTATGGCCTACCTGGTTTCAATATAATTCTTATACATACATTTCGTCACGCAAAAGTCGAAAAGATTTTCTAAACCATCTTTGGGATTACGATTAAATATTTGTATGTGATATTTTAACCGATATGAAATTGGAAATAATTTTAGATACATAATATGTAAAAAGTTATATTAATAATAATTTATTTATTGCAAGAATCTGGTACAAAAATGTGTAAGGTGGTACAATCGTAAGTTCGCGTATTCTGCCACACACAATGGCGCGCAAATTTGTCTTTAAAGGTATTTTCCATTTTCCATTATTAGTTAAATGAATTGGTCAATTCTACGTATTTTGAATTAAAACAAATACCTTTTCAATGTTAACATAGACACAGTTAATTTGCTTTAGCAAACAAATTTCTATGGTCACGTGATTACGACATATCACTTCAATGGGGCAAAGTCAATGACAGTTTTATATTGCGATGGAGGGTCACGTCAAGCAAGAAATACTTTTATCTATTAACCTATTGCTTGTGCTTTGGAATGTTTATTGACTCTATTCGATATAAACATAACGGGTTAGTTATTAAAACAAAATAAGTCTAACTGAATAATTGCTAATTGAAATATTCAACCGATTTGGTCTCTTTCTGTTAGTGTGAAGTTATGGTGCACTATGATAGTGAGAGAGACAGAATAAATAGTATTCTTAAAAATGAATAAGAGAGTTAAAAACTATGGTTAGGATCCGTCATCACTTCCTGCACTGTCAAGCGACAAAATGACCTAGAAATGGTTTAGAAATAAAGCCTGTTATACCTAAGCTATGAATATCCTAATATTAACGATACTGGGATGGTTGTGCTGGCAGTGATTAATAAGGGCACTAAAGTACTAACTTAAAATTAAACAGACCAATATACAGTGATCCGACTATACTTGTACGTTTGGGACTCCTTGAACAACGATTATGTTGACAAAAAAAAGCATAAAATAATAATTTTAATAAATGCCACTTGACGGTTTTACTTTCAATGAACGTTTACGTTTACACAGCGTATACGTTTACGTATATTACGGTTGCAATTTTTTAAAACGTTTTCTAGTAACTGTGTTGCGTTGGCATCTTACGCTTTGTATGGATAATGTTTCATACTGGAGTTTAGGATGTAAGTCGTATGGCCATTATGAATACACTGTAGTATATATTAGAGGGACGCTATCATTCACCAACATTTGTTCACAAAGGCCGTTGGCTTATGCTCTCGACATATACGGTCTGCTCTATATAGTCTTCATCCTTTCGAAAGAAAATTAATTCCCTTTTTATCAATGACCCCATTTATCAGCTTTAACCCTAATAACTTTCAACAAAACTTCCCATGCGAATCTGTCGAGAGCTAAACCCGATACATAATCAAAAATTCAAATCACCAATGACCGATGTGTCACCATAATATTCACCAAAAGCTAACCACTTGGACTACAAACCGAATCACACACTAGAAGATATACAAAAATATACGCATAGAGACGTTCGCTTGGCGCGGCAGGGGCGGGGGGGCGGCGGCGGCGGGGGCGCCCGGGCCGCGCGCCGTCATACGCCGTCCATCTGCCGCACGCGCACATCTTGCGACGCACACATGTCAGGCGCGAACGGCAGGCACGTGAAGTACGCGCACGCCGCACACTCGTACGCTGGAGCTGCGTAGAACAACGCTATCAGCGCACACAGCATCCCTCCGGCGGATACCAGACACACCCACACCAGAACGATCTTCCTCCGCCGCTCGTATGGCCCAAACGTCACGAACGGCAACAGAGCGTATGACAGAAGAAACCCAAACACAAAACCGAACACGTGGGCGAAATTGTCAATCCACGGCAGGAGTCCCACGAAAAATAAGGCTAACGCCAGTCCGATAAGTTTCATTAGCGCGCGCTTCGGATGCCTCAGTATAGGCCACGCACCTATCACTTCCACTATTAAACACGCTAAAAGGCCGAAGTGCGCTCCCGCTGGACCGACCTGAAATTTAGAGAGATAGTTTAATATAAACTTTTATTTGACTGTATTACTGATCAATATTAAATTCCATGTACAAAATATAATATACTTTGTTATTTAGTAGGTTGTCATGTTGGTACCTTGGTCTGCACCAACCAACCGTCGGAATAGACTAGCCCTGTTAAGAATTAGCTCTAAGGAATTTAAGTTCTGTGAAAATGTCATATGTTTCTAAATGACGTATTCATCTGTTTATATTTTTCAATTAATCATGTTGATCACCGCCGGAGGACGCAAATAAAGATCTTACTACATTTTTTTGTATTATTTATTGTATACATAATCTGAAAAAAAGAAGTTTACAAGTATGGTGGAAACAAAAACTTATGGTGATCACAGAAAATAAATTACATATTTTAATAAAATAAACTTATGAAGTAATTACTATCTAGACGAGTGTTTCAGCTATATTTTGATATATTTTTTTCCAATAAAAAGCGATGGAATCTGACAGACTGAAGCGTCTCTCGATACATGAGTTTCGCAGCAAAAATCATCTCATAGCGAATGATCCAAATAAATATAGAAAAAAACGGTATTGAAATTTGTTTTTTAGCTTACCTCGGCTCTATACGGTTCGAAGATCGCTGACGCCATGTTACCCGCGACTCCACTACCCAAATACACAACAGCTATTCTAACTGGGCCCGCCATTTTCTCTAGGTCCCTCATGAAGAGCCACTGCAGAGCAAGAGATGCTGCTAAATGCAAAAGGCCAGCGTGTACGAACAGAGATGTCCATGCCCGGTACAATTGGTCGGGACGCCGTCTCCGCATAAACGGTAACATACCGCAGACATCGTCCAGACAAGATACCTGGAAATGTATGGTACTTCATAAATAAAGGCAAAACTTTGAAATGCAAAGTGCGAAAGTAGTTCAAGTGCGGTAATTATTTTTTTGTGTAGTGTGTCAGCACTTTTTTAGAACAGAGGCAAACAAACTTTTTACGCGCATAGAACAAAGCATTAAAATTGGTGAAAGGAAGTAAAAATTGATATAGAAAAGAGATTTATTATTTTTGGATTTAATTTACATTGTACGTGTATTAAAACAACAATAAACAACTAAGGTTTTCATAATAAATAAAATAAAATAACTCAATGGCGCTACAACCTTTTTTAGGCCTGGGCCTCAGATTTCTGTATCTGTTTCATGATCATTGTGGTAACCTAATAGGCAAGTAGGTGATCAGCCATGCCTGGCGCACGCCGTTGACTTTTTGGGTCTAAGGCAAGCCGGTTTCCACACGATGTTTTCCTTCACCGGTCGAGCGAATGTAAAATGCGCACATAGAAAGAAAGTCCATTGGTGAACAGCCAGATCGAACCTACGACCTTAGGGATGAGAGTCGCACGCTGAAGCCACCAGGCCAACACTGCTCATCATACTAAGACTATTTCATAATAACTAAGATTAATTTAATTATCTCCCGTTTTTGTCCCAAGAATAATGAAACTAGCCTAGCCTAGGCGTGCATTTCCAACCGCGGCTGTGCACCAATGGACGTTTCTAGGGGCCCATACTGGCTCATACGGGAAAACACCGTGACGATACTAGCACCTCTAGAACTCAAAAATCGCCGTGGTATGTCAAGCACAGGTTTATTACCTACTAAATAGTACCTGTGAACATAATGATGCCTCCTCGTGGAAGTACCCTTTGACGAACGAGCAATGTTCGCTTGTGGTGATAACACACTGGCCATGAACGCCTATGCAGCATGGATGCGCTATAACCTCGCATGCCATATGCTCAGCTGCATGCCCTGCTCTGCCAGCCGCTGCGGACCCATCTAATACCGACTTGCGGCAGATCGGCCATTTTGTTATGTCATCTGGCCATTCGTGAGGTGCTATTGAACGCGGTGCTTCACAGAATCTGTAAATTTTAAAGAAATTGTCTTAAACTACAGATACATATTTTAATACATACATTATATGATACACATCACATATTACTCAGTTACTTAACTACTCTGTTGCACTCAGTTTATTCTACTACTAAATCGCTTCTAAGCAATCTCTTCCATAAAACCTTACTATGGGAAATAAATACGTATAGTATGTTTAGTAAAAAAATAGTTATGGAAAATGTTGCTATTTACGTTTAATAAAAATAATGTTATACCCGTTAAAAGAATGAAGTAGATATAATAACTTAAATATCGTGGAACACTCATTATTCACTGATTTAGGACTCCCACACAAAACTGCGATGCGCAGGAATTTGCGATGCGAATTTCTGCGATACGATTTAGTGCGACAAACCTTTTGGTAGGGCGACCATTCCTACGTTGTCAGCAGTACTGGACGCGTAAGATGGATCGTAAAAAGATAATTGCACTGCTGTTATTGTTAAATAGATATTAAAGAAAAAGAAGATTCTGGGTTCATCCATTTATTACGATTATGAACTCTAATGCAAACTTTCACAGATGCTCTTCCACGCATCTTGCTTAATAAATTTATTTTTATAATGTTCATCACTTGTGTCCCAAAGGACGGGACGCTCCTCAATTAAAAATATTAAAAAATCCATATCATATTCCGCATTTTTTTATAAACAAAGAAGGCGGCGGAGGCGCCGCGCGTCTTTCTCTAAAGCTGTCTCAGAGCGGACTAAAAGGGCGTCACCAAGAATGACGTAATATCGCAAGAATGTGTGATGCGAAGCAGATCGGAACTTCTTGCGGTGCGTTCGTGCGAATTCGCAGATATTTGCGATGCGATGCGAATTCGCAGTTTTGTGTGGGAGCCCTTAGCCTGGCTATTTCTTGTTTTTGGTCACATCATGGGTTGGTTGATGTGGCCAAAAACAAGGAATTTCTACGGTCAGACATTCTTATGCGATGCTGCGCAAATTTTTATACTTTGGTTCGATCAAGACGGAAAGTATTTTTTCAATAATATATATTCAAAATATTTAGTCATCAAGTGTTTTGGATTTACTGATATGCAAATTTTTTATAGGTAAATATTCCGTATCACGGCACCAGCGATTTTGAGGCTGATTTTTTTTACACTCGCGTTATGATCTGTAAACATCATAACTAGTATTGTTATGACGGCGCATGAAAAAAAAATATTAATATACTAACCTAACCTAACCGAACAATATTAATAATAGGTTTTTTGGACAGCTCCGGCGCTGCGGGAAATGCAGCCCCTCCGCGCCTCCTAATTTTATATACACTCTAGGGGTAAGGCAGACAAGACCACGTTGATAGTGGGGTGCTCTGATTCGGTTTTGGGTACTTTTAGATTTTTTTTTGGCAAAAAAGGTCATGCGCCATCACAACAACACTAGTTATGGTCCTGAGAACTCATGACAAAGTCCAAAAAATAAAATCAGCCTCAAAATCGCTGGTGCCGCGATACGGAATATTTACCTTTTAATAATGTAGCCAATTTTATTTAAGTTATATATAAAAAAGTCTCGTCAGTTATGAATGAAAAAGAAAATCGTCACAATAGCGCGTATCATTTGTTTGTGAATAATCCCTTGCCTACATTCTTCTATCGTTCAATATTATATGACGTTTTACACGTACTTTGGATCTAATCCACAAACTGAGCCTGATATCCGACCCCCAGGTCCCGAATCGCCAGAAGACCATTTTTTCCACGTTGATATTGTGTTCTGAAATATAAATTATAATTTTTATAACAAATGTAAACGCAGTTCTGTTTTAACTCCCGTAATCCAAAAGGTGCCATAGACCACTTTAAGAGCCATCTACAGCCGAAACGACTATTATTTCATTGATAATGGAACCCAGGACCGTCAACTGCTAAGTCAAGTGTTTCACTATTATTTAAAAGTTTTTGATGTGTAGAGATGTATTATATTTACAATTTCAAAACAAAATAAATAATGACTTACATTCCCATTAAATGACTACATTAACCATTTAAATGAAACACGTTAAATTATTGCGTACAATTAAATAAAAGCTACCTAAAAGGCGTGAAAATCCGATTAAAGCCGTTTTCACTGTATATTATTTGCGTAAAAACGTTAGATCAGTGAAATTACTTTTAAATTTAATTTAGAATTAAAACTGTAAATTCAATCGTAGTAATAAAGGAAAATGACGACTTACCTTTGGTATTAATCCTCTTATCTTTAGATTGCGTGCGAAAAATTTAAATATTAGTATTGGCTTTACAACTCGTGTTAAAATGAGAAACGAATTTTTTTTAACGATTATTATTATTATTATGTATATAAACACACTAGCGGCTTAAAAAGCTGATGCGCGCATATTTTGAGATTTGGAGATACTATCCAACCTATTTTAGAAAAGTGTTCAAGAATTCAAAGAGAATTTGTTTGATACTGATTGGTCAACGGCATCTCTCAAAGCTACGCAACCTATCAAAATGGAACGCAACGTTTTGCCTGCGTTTTACTTTATGGATTCTTGCTCCCAGATATAGGATGACAAAAGTGAACATACCGTAGCAATGAAACGACCACGGTCCATAGACGAAAACCTATTGAAACTGTAGACCCTTAACCGCCAATCATTTTGTATGAAAATTATCACGTGACCAGTGAAATTCAAAATAGTTTTACGGTGACATTTATTTCAAGTCTAATTTTAACTACAACCTTACCCAGTTTCTAAACTTGAGTTGCTAAAAGCTTTATTACCCTAAACGGCTTTTTGCGTTTGTATACTTGTTATTGGTCAATAAGGTTTATAATTATTTGATGTTACGTAATATGTGGAACATAACATTGTTGCTCCTTCCAGAAACTCGGAAATTACGAAATAATACGAGGTAGGTCTGTAGGTGCGAAACCTTATCATAGCGTGATTAAACGATAATAATAACTCGGTGGCCCTATAACCCCACATCGGTCTTGATCGCAGATTTCATCAGTTTCTTTGATTAATTTCTATTTATAGAATATCAGGTGATCAGCAGCTTGGTAAATCTTGTTTCTCCTTTATCCTTTTACCTTCACAGTACGAGAATGTGTTCGTTGCGCACAAAAAAAAATCAATTCGTGCACGGCCGCGATTTGAACTTTTTTTTATAGAACAGGGGGCAAATGGGCAGGAGGATCACCTGATGTTAAGTGATACCCATGGACACTCTCAATGCCAGAGGGCTCGCGAGTGCGTTGCCGGCCTTTTAAGAATTGGTACGCTCTTTTCTTGTAGGACCCTAAGTCGAATTGGTGTACCGTGAGACTGGGCGCTGCACAAGTAAACCTCTACCGACATTACTTTACATGATAATTATATCTGCCCAAAATAGTAATTTATTGTGACGCAACAAATACGAATATTCATATTCGCCGAATAATATATATTCCCAAAGCTGGAAAAACTGGCCCAAAAGAATTTTTCATTAAAGCCTGTCGCCTCAGAAAGATTATTTTCGACCCTAATGCTTGACAAGTTACAAATGCTGCGCTTTTAAAACAAAAAATTGTCAGTATTTAATTTCAATTATTAATTATCTTAGTAAATAAGAATAGTCTGTATTATTATTGCCTTCTTGAATTATACGTACGTATTCGTATTTGTATTCGTCAAAGTAATATTCGTTGCATCACTACTAATTTGTAATTGCCGAACAAAGACAACTATACGATAATAAAAGGAATAAATTCTAACCGAACAATCCGCTTTAGAAGACTGTACACATCCCGAATCGTCATTCCGTATACAGCAGGCTGTATCTCTCTCTCTTCTCGCAGATGCAGCTATCGCTCTTGCTATTCTCGCGTCCCTTCGCATGCATGGTGCAAACTTAGCTCCTAAATGTATGAGATCCGCCGCCCGTGGTCCCAACCAAAATGAAGCTGGTTCTTCCCATTCAACCTATAAATAATATCCACAATATTTAACAAGATAATCAATATTACAAACTCATTATGTTGTCATGATATATTTTATTATTAACTAAATCTATTAAGAAAGAGGAATTGTTTGTATTTTTATCTAAATTATTTAACCATTAAAATGCTACATTAACCCTGAATAACATAGGCTATCAAAACATTTAAAAAAAAAGTGCGTGAGTAGAAAGTACGCATGTCAGAAGTGAAACTTCTTTGTAAATTAATTATTACTAAGGTAGAAGCCCCAAATCCCAATAGATGATCATTTACTAGTATATGATCACTCCATGTATTTTTATGTCTATATTCACACTGTTTACACACTGTATACGTGCTAATGATAATATAAATAAATTAAAAATCTGCGATTACTGCACAAGACGTTATGCGTCAGAATTGCCATCTAAAGTTCTAATGCTACGGTCACACCCCCCCCCCCCCCCCCCGGGGGGCCCCCCGGGGGGGCCCCCCCCCCCCCCCCCCCCCCCCCCGGCCCCCCCCCCCCCCCCCCCCCCCCCCCCCCCCCCCGGCCCCCCCCGGGGGGGGGGGGGGGGGGGGGGGGGGGGGGGGGGGGCCCCCCCCCCCCCCCCCCTTTTTTTTTTTTTTAAAAAAAAAATTTTTTTTTTCCCCCCTTTGTTTTTCCCCCCCCCCCCCCCCCCCCCCCCCCCCCCCCTTTTTTCCCCCCCCCCCCCCCCGGGGGGGGGGGGGGGGCCCCCCCCCCCCCCCCCCCCCCCCCCCCCCCCCCCCCCCCCCCCCCCCCCCCCCCCCCCCCCCCCCCCCCCCCCCCCCCCCCCCCCCCCCCCCCCCCCCCCCCCCCCCCCCCCCCCCCCCCCCCCCCCCCCCCCCCCCCCTTTTTTTTTTTTTTTTTTTTTTTTTTTTTTTTTTTTTTTTTTTTTTTTTTTTTTTTTTTTTTCTAATATGTAACTACTAAACGAATATATCAACCAATAGCGTGTATTGTTTCTCGATCTCGAAATTTCACCCTCATGCGCGTAAGGAAGTTTCACTTCAATAAATGTCCTTGCGAAACCGGGATTAGCCGTTGATTCGTAATAATTCTGTGATTTTAATAGGTCCCTAAATTATGAATAAATGTTCAAATTTCTACAATAATTTCGTCTCAAAATAAAGGGAATTTCCAATTTTAAGACCAACTGTTTGTATTTCATAACTGGTAATCTCATTGTCAGGATTTATAACGGCGTAGGCGTGACTGACTTGCGTAGGCATCGCACAAATGCCTTCGCCTGTATTTCTTTATAATATAATTTGACAATTATTTAGTTTATTTCTAAATTTATTAGTGAAAAATTCATAGATAATAAATTAATAAAATAATAATAAAGCTGTGTTAGCCTAGTAGCTTCATCGTGCGACTCTCATCCCTGAGGTCGTAGGTTTGATCCCCGGCTGTGCACCAATGGACTTTCTTTCTATATGCGCATTTAACATTCGCTCGAACGGTGAAGGAAAACGTCGTGAGGAAAGCGGCTTGCCTTACACCCAAAAAGTCGACGGTGTGTGTCAGGCACAGGGACTGCCTTGTCTGATCTGAGGCCAGACCTAAAAAGGTTGTAGCACCACTGATTTATTTTATTTATTTATTCAGAATAATAATACAGCAGCGTGAGCGTCACCCTATATGGGTCTTGGCCGCAGATGAATCCGTTTCATTTATCATTTTTATTTTTATAGAAGAGTAGATGAGCCGTAGAATTTCGTCGTGAGTTTTAAGACATTTCCTCACAATGTTTTCCCTCACCGATGTAGCAAGTGATAATTGCGGCATAGAAAGAAAAATCCATGTGTGCACAGCCGTGATTTGAACGCGACCGTAGAGTTGAGAGTCACAAGCGTAAGCCAACACTGCTCATATTTTAATAGTCGAGCCAGTGTAACCGTAGCCGAAAGCTAATTGATTTAAATCATTAAAGAGCAATAATGTGTGACGTGGCTGGATCGAAGAATTGATATTTTATGATTGAAATATCGTCCACGTCATATGCATTGATTGACAGATGATAAGGATTTCTTGGTACGAAGTAGTTGAGTTCAAGTGTTTACTTGAACGTTTTCTTAGTAACAAGGAAAAGTAGCCCGCATTGGTACAAGCCATAGATCTTAGCAGCTTATTATTCAATAATAAAATCCGCAATTATTTATTTTTTGTCGTATGATATGGAGACTCTTTAAAATATATTCAATATTCATTTCAAATTAGAATATTTCATTAACAGAAAAATCAATTTATACAAAATGATAAAATAAAAAATTAATTTAAGTTATTAATTTATTTTTAAGCTATTGCATAGATATTATCGCGGGCTTTGAGCGCGGCGACCGAATCAAGAAATTCCGTAACGAAAATAAAAACCTAGCACACGATGACATAATATAGGTGCGGCCAATATGCGTTAGAGCGGGACAGAACGCATACTGCGTCTCACATCGGTCTGGCGTGATCGGTGTCGTAGCGCAGGTGCGTTAGAGTGGGACAGAACGCATACTGCGTATTCACATCTCTCTGACGAGATCGGTGACGTAGCGTAAGCGCGGCCGGTGCAGCCGGTACGTGTTAGAGTTAGACAAACTATATAGGCGTGTTAGTTAGAGCCTGGTAGAATGGTAGATTGAATTAATATCAAAGAAAACAGAATACTGCATAAATAAAAAAATAATAAATAATTATAATCGCATAAGTTGATAAAAAATGCTATGCAATAGCTTTACCGCGGCAGTCCCCGAGTGCCACACGTTTTTTTTTTTAAATTATAATAGGTCAATATATATCTATTAGTCTCTTCAATTGTACGAATGAAATATTAAACGTAGACATACAAAAATCTTGACATACCAAGGTCTGCGGTCAGTTGGGAAAAGATGTCGGCGTTTGTGACCGGCAAAGACAAAGAGTTTTAAGCATATGCGACCTACTTTGAGCACTCTTTAATAATGTCGACTTTACAGAGAGCTTGTTAATTACAAAAGTTTGTAACGTGCTTATAATAAGATATACTTTAGTGTACAAAATATAAGGGAAAGATAACTTTAGATATTAAGAATTCAGTACGTATAAGAATTAACCGTATAAAGGATTTTGTGTTATGGCTTAGATAACACTAGATTTGTCTACGGGGCTTTCTACTAGATAGCTTAATTAACGCAACACTCGGAGGTTGTGAGTTCCAATTTCCGGAGAAACATTTTTTGTGTTGACAGTAACAGAAGGCTCACCACAAAATTTAAAACAAATGCATAAATTAGAATATGTTGGGAATTAGGGAATTTATTTATTTTTGCTATATAATTTCTGTTTGGGTACACGACATTTATTTCCACGTGAAAAGAAATACCCTGATGCACACCCGCTGTGGATAGGTTCAGAAATCGAAATGAATAGTATGTATTGACGCAAACAAGACAAAAAAAATCCGTGGCACTACAGCCTCTTTAGGTCTTGGCCTCAATTTTCTGAATCTGTTTCATGATCATTTTTAAATCTAATAGGCAAGTAGGTGATCAGCCTCCAGTGCCTGACACACGCCCTCGACTTTAAGGGTCTAAGACATGTCGGTTTCCTTACGATGTTTTCCTTCACCGTTCGAGCAAATGTTAAATGCGCACATAGAAATAATGTCCATTGGTGCACAGCCGGGGATCGAACCTACGACCTCAGATATGAGAGTCGCACGCTGAAGCCACTAGGCCAACACTGCTCTACGCACTGCGCGAACAAGATAAGACTTATGAATTTCTGTGTCATATAACACTGACTGAAGACATCCGTTACTTAAAATATTATAATCCCAATCACACAAATCAAATTAAATACTTCGTAAAACTTTCTGGAATATTGTAGGCTATTTATTTTGTTAACATAAAGGCCATGCAAGTAACAAGCCCAAAAACCTAATATTGTCTCATAACTGTGCGCTCGCAAATAAATGTGGGTTAATGCGTTGTGTCTAAAAGCTTTGCGTCATTTAGCCCCGCTATAATAAAATCCACAGACGATACTGAAACTCGCTTCATTACTCTCAGAGCGCACAGATTAGATATTTTGGCGAGTTAGCGGAGGAGTTAGGCCGACTTACAAAATGTCTGGTTATTTTAGATGTTTCTTAACAAAAACATAAGAATTTAATTTAGAATATTTCTTTATAAAATTATATACGAACGCGATACGCGTCGCCATCAGCTATCCCAATTTTAGTCTATTAGGCTCATTCTAATATGTATCTTTAATGCCCTTTTGAATTGATTAAACACGCTAATATTACGAATTTTAGAGGCTCCAAAATTCGTAATATTAGGATATCTAAGCCTATCTTAAAGCGATATTAATATAGTATTCGTGTCGAGAATATGTCATGGCACAACTAATCTAATTTGACTTAAAATTGTCATCAAAGTAGTTATTAGAATATAATCATGTTTTATGTATTGTTCACGACACACTAAACAATGCGTTATGCAGTATAGTAGGGTTGCGGTATACATAAATTCCAAGTGTACATGAACATTCATAAATATAGAAAGTATCCCCTGATCATTTTCTTAATAGACATGTATGGCTCATACAAGACTTAATAATCTAAGTACAAAATTTAAAGGACCTAGGTTACACGAAAACTTAAGTAAATAACAAGAGTATTCAAATTTCGTACTACCAGTTTCACATTGATAACAAAATTTCACACAAACACAAAATATATAAAATATCGTTATCGTGTGTTCATAACAATTACAATCCCATATTCGTTATTAAAAAGTATGACACGCATAAAGAAATATATTTGTTAAATATTACAAACATTCAAATACCTGTTGTAAGCTAAGACTCTTCAACATAACTTGTCCCGTGTGCGTGTGCCGACCGAAGCCGACTGGTCCGAAGCCATAACAAAGCAAGGCCAAAAGAAGCACCAGGGTCTGAACTGTGCTGACCCACCACGTGAAGTAAGGCCGGTAGTCCGTCAGCTCGTCTAACTGTTGCGCGATTTCCCCTTGTTGTGTCACTGATTTGCGAAGGGATCGTCTGCAAATGAATACATTAAATATAAAGAAAAATTATTTATTAATTTAATATATAAAAAGCTAGTTCATTAATTGTGTTTTTATTTCACTTTTCTGTGTCACTCCCATAGCACTGAATGCGTAGACAAGAGCGCTTATTAGCGATATGCGCCTTTCAAGAAGCCTATATTTATCTTAGCAGTAGTTTCAACGTCATCCGCGGGTTTCGAGCCCCGGCTCCAATGGACTATACATTCCACTCGCTCGTACCTTGAAGGAAAACATCGTGACGAAACTGGCATGCCTTAGACATAAAAGTCGATGACGCGTGTCAGGCTCAGGAGACTGAGAATTGTCAAATAAGTGATAACGAAACAGATACATATATGTGAGGCCTACAAGGTCAAAAGCACAATGGGACAAAGGCATTACTGGTTTTATTAATTTCTCTTTGTCATGGGTGCAATGAAGTGTAAATAAATAAATTATCTATTACAAAAAAGCTCTTTTAAGTTATTTTTCTTGAATCTCTAATTGAATGTATTAGTTCCTAAGTAATTATTGTGTTTGTATGTATAGTTTTACTCCTCTTTTGTATTTTTTAATAGTTTATGGATTTATTACGGACAATTATTAATTTGTAATATAGAAAAAGAATGGCGCATGTAAGGGTTCGATTCCTAGCGTATCTATTTCGTGATGGCACAGGATAGCCTTCAGTAAGTTACTTGACCATAGAAAAATAATCGACCAAACATGTACGCACCACATTATTATTATAATCATGGGCTAACAACATTGTATGAATAAATCTTAACTTGGGCGGTTTATGAACACGTGCAATCTGATATAAAGGGTAAATGTTATGTCCATGCGCCAACGTGACCTTGTAATATTTTAGCCATGACCTACTCTTTAAGTCTTTCAAAGGGGCTCGACAGAAAGTGAGACTCCAAAAATAAACTTGTGTGTGAAAATTGAAATGTACAAATCTGGAATTGCTTTTAAAATATAAATGTGTATTAAGATATGAAGATTTAAATTTGTGCCAAAATTAATTCAAATTTTATGAATAACAGTAAGTTCAAACTAACATAGGATGCCTTGGCTGTCTATTCATAATCGGTCTTAATATATTGTTGAGAATACTAAATCAATATATATTTAAAGAAATATTTGTAAAACATATTTTTATATGAAAGTAGTTGCGCTGATTAATAAATTGCTGCATTTATTTAACTTAGCCTACCTTTTTAGTAATTAAATACCAACATATACAACAATTTGCTATGCTACGCCATAGAGACTGTTCGTTTTTCCGGAATAAAAACTTTAGTACTAAATAAAACTAAATTTCAAGGAATACATACAAAAATACTCGCATTGGTCTAGCTAGTTTTTCGCTTAGCAACATATTTTGCGAATCATTTTTATTCATATAGATTTACGTACGTATATCTAAAGTTAATTTAACATAGGCTTTTGTTATAATAACAATGCATTAAGCACATCTGACACTGAGAAGTTACTTCCCTTGAAACATAACGTGTTCAATTCCAACTCTACGTACAATTAGCTTTTAATCTAATTTACAATGCATTACGCTGATGGGATACTTTGTAAGGAAAATAAACCTTGTAATCTAAGAAGCAAACTAAATGAGCTATCTACTTAAAAGGATCAATGTTGTCATCGGCATTAAGGCGGATTATCCTTTAACGCACGATTGACTAACACTATACCTTTAATAACATTAGTTGGGCAATGATTTAAACTCGCTAGACTGTACCTAATTTGACAAGAAGCCAAACCCTTTGATGAATTCTTTTGTTTTTAAACAAATTTCGGTAAGCATACATAGAGGCTGTATCGGAGGCACTTTATTGCAGAGTAATAAAATTTTCAATTCCTGAAAGTGGTGATAAATAACGTTTTCATAAATACTGTATGAAAAGTAAAGCAGAACATTTGTGACTTTTAAGGGGTACAATTGTTTTCGTATCATAAATTCACGGCTCTCTTACATATATGGACTCAATTCACTTTACAATAAACTAATTAGACCATCTCGGGTGTCTAGTTCTCTGCCGCAATAATAATATAATATATTATTTCAAAGATAACCTCTAGTTGAGTTAACACCTCTAGTTAAAAAATAATAATATTGGTAATAGACACAGAGTATGAGACTTGGGAATGCATTACAAAGTAATTAAACCGCGTTTTTGTTTTTGCTTATAAATTTAGGCCGAGCGTTTTTTCCGTCAGTTTGCTACCAAGACCTATCAGCTACTAAATTTAACTTTGAAAACTCTGATTAGCATTTAAAGTACGAGAGTACTAAGTACAACATAATGACCTGAACAACAAATATTCATATTATAATAAATACTGCGTACGTTAAAAAATATAAATTACAAGTTACCATAATGTTAAATATTTGTTAATTAAAATGATACAAAGAGATTAAATTGTAGCGCAGGTAAAGGCGTGGTAGGCTTTGCGGCTAGGTAATAATAATTATAGGCTTCCACGATCGATGCCTTGCTCTCAGTCTGATAATCATCGTCCATGTTTTCGATTCACCTTTCCTACAATTTCTAATTTACGTCGGTTTAATTACTTTAACATTTATGATATTTATACTTAATAATTCCAAAACCTTTAGTTTGTCTGAGTTTTGATGTTAGTAGTTAGTTAGCTACTAATAAACTAATTTGATTTTTAGTTACATTTATACTTTTTGTCTGTGGTGGGATTGAATAATCGGAAAATTAGGGTTGTATTTTTATGTATAAAGGTAAAGCTATGAAAACCGATTATGATTAATTGTAGCTGATATCAAACTGAAAATATCTTTATTCAAGTGGGTAACCCGGCCCCCTTTTTTTCCCCCAAGTTTTTTTTTTCTTTTTTTTTTTTTTTCCCCCCCCTTCCCCGGGGGGGGGGGGGGGGGGGGGGGGAGGGCCGGGGAAAAAACCCCCCCCCCCTTTTTTTTCCCCCCCTTTTTTTTTTTTTTTTTTTTTTTTTGGGGGGGGCTTTGGGGGGGGCCAAGATTATGATTAATTGTAGCTGAATATCAAAAATATTTGAGCAGTGAGCGGGTATTGATATTGATGTATTGATTTTTTTCCAATTATTGGCATTTAAACAATATAATATAAAATTTATAAAAGAGTGGTTTATACTAGAGACACGATGTATGTGTATATTACATTAAATTTCGATTCACAAATGTGTTTAAAACTATTTTGGCTACAACAAGGCTTAAAAATAATTCATTATTCGTAATTTATGGAAAATGGATGGATTGAACCGTTACAGAATATGTCAATAATCAAAAAGCCACAGGAACGCTACCCATTTCAGAGACCTAGCGAATTGTAGCTGATATCAAAAATATTTGACAGTGGTAGTGATAGTGATTATTAATTTTTTCAATCCCAAATAATTATAGAGACACGATTATGTGAATATTGGATTAGGTGTATCGATCACAAATGTATAACTATGTATAAAGTTTCATTAGAGAGGGCTAAGAACATGTCAATAAAAGCCACGACATATATGTACCTATCACTTTGACTACACAATGTTATTATCACTGTATGTTTTAATAACACTTTATTTATACTATTAACCGAGAAATATTCGAAACATATATTATGTGCGTTCGTATGGCAAACAACTTCCATTGATATTGTTTGATTTGTACGTTGAGTTTGTAAGACACACTATCATAGTTACTACGCCGTAGACCTCAATTCCGTAGCACTAAGCCATTGCTACGTCATAGCTTAATATGATCCACAGCTCAATAATTTTGGAGTTGGCACGTAGCAATTCAGAATCCTGTGGCAATTATATACAATACGATATGACTACGCATGATCTAACTATTGTTTATGTATCTCTACTGCTAATGCCATACTAATTAGTTATGTATCCTCTCTGCGCATATTAATTTTTTATAAAATAAACAGGAGCATAAATATGTATAGCACCCATAACATGTAAGCGCCAAAAATGGAGATCAGTGGGCCACGAAAACTTCGAAGAAATCTAAGTCACATTGCCAAGCAAGCTCTCGTCTGGAATCCCCGAGGCAAAAGAGAACGTGGCTGCCCAAAATCAAGAGCTGGCAACAAAGGAAAGGCGAAAGAGGCTGGTAAAGCTGGAGTGAAGTTAAAAGAGCTGCCCAATCAGGCCGATTTTCTACACTGGATAGAAGCTGCGTTATCAATTATTAATTATAATTTGAAATTTTCATGCTAGTTTGATATGGCACTTTAAATAAAGGATTTATTTATTTGCATTAATATATATTTTCTTTATCTTTCAGTCGTACGAATTCGAAAACAACTCTTCCAAGCGACAAAAACACCTTAAAACAGTCGTTTGTGAAACGACGGAAATCATGGTGATGCCTACCTATATATACCTACATGTATGGGCTGATTATAAATGATATATCACATATACATGTATATTAATTCAACTGAATTAATTTACCATGTGTTTTGACACGAACGGTACCGACTTCTTCAAGTAATCATGATGGGCAAGGTCGAGGGGAAAAGACGCGCTGGCAGAAGGAGGAAGTCGTGGCTCCGCAATATTAGAGAATGGACGGGAGTGGCCAGCGTAGAACAGCTGACGCGCTTGGCGAAAAATTAGAAGGAGTATGACGAGCTGACCGCCAACCTCCAGTAGTGGAGAGGCACTTCAAGAAGAAGAAGAAGAAGAATTAATTTAAGCTACTTAATTAATAAAACGAAGAACAGAGCGTGAAGCGGAGCAATATGCTGTTTGCGAAACATAATAATGCATATACAACAAAATATAATTTTTTAAAGCATTAGAACCAAGTAAATTTTAACTGAAACAGATGTTAGTTATGTCTTTTTGATGCTTTGGTCTCCGCAATAGAAGAATAAGTAATAAGAATCGATAAGTTGCATCAGAATAAAATTGATTAACCATTAATTTACGAATGCCGATCATGTTTGACACCTTGTTGACAAAACGGCCTAATTGTAGAATTCGTGTCACTTGAATAAACCAAACGTGAAGTTAAATGAGGAGATGCTACAGCAGTATATTACCAATCATTACCGATATCATGTATTTCGTCCATCAAAAAATTGCATTTAATGTCTGTAAGTGCTTTATTATATGCATTTTAAATGACCAAATTGGCGATTGAGCATTATCTAAAAATAAAATAAATTTAAAAAATTTGCAATGGCAAACATAATACCTAAAACTTACATATTTACTGAATATGAAAACTGATCACTTACTGGAATCTTAAACACTAAGTATAAGTAAGAACGATATTAGTATGAGAATGCAAACTCAATTATTGTTATTTTTAATAGAACACAAGAACAGAGTGTCCTTTAAAGACTGTAGAACGTAGTGTTATTGTAACTTCCTAAAGTTAAAAATTGCTTCGTTATTTAGTAAATTAGGTAAGACTTAAATTCAAGCTAATTAGTGGTCTTCAACTTACAAGGATCGTAATGTTCCATGCTGTCTCAATTGAAGACATGTGTAATATAATTAAAACGCTCGATAAATTTTTCAATTTTTATCCATTGACTAATTGCAGGATTGATTTACGAATTAATTTCTTAATTATAGATTCTACAGCAGTCATAGTTAAATATTACCCCTAGTGCGACCCCGTACAGATGTTGTAATTTGCATGTTATTGTTGTAAGTCGATTAGGATATTAAATACCAAATTATCTTGTGAAAGTACCAACTGAAGTCCCATCTGCACGGGTTGATTTGTGAATTAAACTTTCAGGATCTCCACCAAATACGGGAAGGTAAAAATCAATCAAATAGTTCCAGTCCGTTTCATTGGAATTTAGTGACACTATACACGTACAGCTTAGTACTATGTATAAGTAACCTAATCTATTAATAGTTACCTTAAAACCGTAAAGGTTGGCAATTTGTTTGAAATCGGTTAAGTAGTATTGGGAGTACATAGCGGACAAACAACGTGACGCATAATTTATATATATTAAGATAATAAATCACCAATATTAAAACATAAAGTCTTACCGGAAAAATCTTCCAACGACACCCATTCCGAACTGCCTCCTATTCGAGTTATCTGCAAGTGGTTCCAACATGGGAGTGTGGATGCGAACACCCCCCGCCCCCCACGACACACTCCTCTCGGGCCTTCTGTACTCCACGCCAGAAGATCCAAGAGGTGACCGCGCACTGTAATAAGGAATTTCGTTATTCGAAAATTAAACATTAATGCCACTGAAGTATTTCCGAACCAATTCGACTTAGGGTCCTTCAAGAAAAGAGCGTACCAATTCTTGAAAGGCGGGCAACGCACTTGCGAGCCTTCTGGCAGTGTGAGTGTCCATGGGCGGCGGTATCACTTATCACCAGGTGAGCCTCCTGCCCGTTTGCCTCCCATTACATAAAATCCTTTGTAATGATTCAAAAGTTCACTATTATTTGGATGGTGTGAATGGACTTTCTGTCTATGTGCGCATTTAAGACTAGCTCGTACCGTGAAGGAACCCACATTACTCTTTAGGGTAATACTTTTAAGTCGACGGCGTGTGTCAGGCACAGAAGGCTGATCACCTGTTTGCCTATTAGCAAAAAACAAATCATCACGAGCCTCAGATTTCTATCGTGGTTATAGGTGGTTGTGGTAACTCCGCAAATATTAAAAACCCTTGGATCAGATGTTTGTTTGCTTATGAAGTGCAAAAAACATCGTGATTTCCATTCTAGCATTTAAAATGAAACAAAGCAATAGGTATAAACATATTTCCACAGAGGTCCACTCACGAAAATTTTCATTACACAAATTTCAGGAAAATTCGTGAAACTGCAACATTATTTTTAAGAAAGTCTATTTGTAGTTCGGTAAAAGATGCGACTAACTTCAAATATAAGGTTAAAATCGTTGCAGTTAAATAGATACTAATCAAGCTGTTATGATTACATACATAACATGATGAAACATAATTTTAATATCCATTGATTTCAAGTCAAACAATCTAATATTTTATCTTATATTTACTTTACTTTACATTTATTTAAAAACAGATGAATTACAATAGAACGCAAATTTATCCGTCGTCTTTCGTATTCGAAAACATAACAATGGAAATAAGGAATACAATTCAATACCTCTCATTCAAAACCGTACATTGAGAATCTTCCTCAAATAGCTATTGGATGTTTTGTCCTTGTCATTCTCGACGCAAACGAACGCGACGAAACACGATTTAATTATAAAAAAGAATGATAGTCTGTATCGTTATTTATGAACTCCATTGCTTCATTATGTTTTCGCTAAAGCTTAGGTTTCCTAAAAAAGCGGTGCCGTTATCTAACGGCCGTAATGTAGCGTTAGGTGACGACACCCATACGTTTTCTATAAATAACATCGGAGTAGGTTTCCAAGAGAACGTTGAGTGTCACCGTACCGTCAAATAGCGGTGCTGTCATTTGCATGACGGCCGTCATAGTGGTGATAAACATTAGTTTAACGTTTTTCGCGTGTAGCGGTGCCCATATTTAATTAATACAATGAGTGGAAACGTGACTTGGATGAGCGAAAATGATGTTTTTTTTGCATTATGTTAAAAAGTATAGACGGCCGTTATTAACAACCGTAAAATGACGGCCGTTAGTTAACGGTACCGCTTGTCTAGGAAACCTGAGCTTAACAGCATAGATAATCAAAACTATTTGAATATACTCGTATTCTAAACACTTGCAGTACAAAGTACAATTTTTATTGTAAAGAGGTTCCATGTCGCCAGAATTAATACAAAAACTTATGCCTTTGGGGCCATTTAAACCACAAAGGGAGGTATTAGCGAGATTTATACCGAAACAGTTTTTGGCAAGATTACTCGTTGCGCATATAGTTGGTAGGAGATTAAATCTCCAATTCTTGGACCCATGTCACAGAGATTCGGACCGAGTGATATATCTGTCAGTTGCTGGACATTATGTAGACTTAACACGGGTGAAAGATCTTTTTTATCGGCTGTAAAAAATTCTAAGGATCTGAATAGTAGGCATAACAAAATATTACTGTTTCCACTATAATTCCGGTTTAAATGCAAAAAATTGTATTTGATGAATATGCTTGCTAATGATCGCTTTTCTAAGAAAAAAAACTGCTTAATAGACGTTGGTTGTCTTTTATAGTCTCCAAATAGCAAAAATCCACGGTTCGAAGCATGCTAAACTTAACCTTAAAACTGCGTATATAAATGATATGTATATGTATGTATGAAGTTATAATGTTAATAAGTAATTTTAAACTAACCAAATTTACTAAAGAATACTTTACTTTTAATTAAACTTAAATGAAAAAAGCTTATAGATTAAGAGCACTTCTTACTGTGTAATACAAATTTGTTTTCAATTAACAACGTCTCACAATAATATTCATAAACGAACAACATTAAACGGAACTAAATGAGCGATTTATTATTGCTTGAATAAATATGTACTTTCATTGTTCGCTCGCGATCTTGTAATGTTGCTTTTTCAACAGTTCCTAAAATTTAGTAAAATCCGGCAATGCACTGGCGAGCCTTATGGCAATGTGAGTGTCCATGGGCGGCGATATCATAAGTGATATCGCCGCCTGACACTCACATCAGGTGAGCCTCCTGCCCGTTTGCTTCCTATTCCATAAAAAAAGCCTTAAAATAGCTCATTCGTCTCTTGAGATCAACAGGGCAAACAATTTACACATACAGGTCAACGATCTTTCCTCGGGTAGTTTATTAATATTAACAATATTAATAAATATTAGTTTAACCTTTCCTACCACCTAATTATTATCCTATAAATTCAGAGTCTAACAAACAGGTAATTAAATAGAATATGCAGTTTGAAGTCAACATCTTTTTTGAATAAATATTGTGTGACCTGTTTTTACTTCTGGGTCACCTAAATGTTAATACTTCTATCAACTTAGTGTTCTCTTCTAAATATACATTTTACTAACTGCTAACCTATATACAGTTCGGACTGTAATCATTCGCCATACATTTTAAACATATACTATCAAATTTATAAATATTCTGAGATGATCAATTTCAAGAAAACCTATAGATAGATAGGGAAAATAATTATAACACACAAATTGACGAAAACTAAATAAAACATATTAAACACTATTTCTTGGTTATTATAACAAAAAGCCTTTGTGATCGGAAAGGTTTAATGGGGATAACATTTAGCTTTAAGGACCTAAGGTTAATAATTTCTCCAATATCAGTTCTCAATAAGTCCCAACTAGATAAGGGATTTAGGGGCTGTAAATAACGTCTAGGTTTTTAGGTCAAAACTATAAAGCATAGTGACCCCATTTAACCTACTTCGCAGCTCTTTGTGCTGATTTTGATATTTGAGGGCTATAATAATTGAACTTTCCTTTTATTCGTATTTAGAAAACTTACTTTCTGTTATGTAAGGCTTTACTTTACTTTATGATAATTTTTTTTAATGTTTAAAATGCTTTCCCCGGTTCAGATAGCAATTATTAATTTAATTATATATGAAAAAAAATCTTTTTTTAAAACCCTTGAACACAAAACATTTTCTAGGTTTCCCTCACTGTCACTCACTTAATTCGGTTATAGCATCATGTTGTTCCTTCTTTTATATAAAAGGGGGGCAAACGAACCTACAGAGAGGCTATAAAAGGCACATGCCTCAACCCATTAACATCCATGTTAGCGGGGGCGTTGCTGGCAATTAACAGAGGTGTATGCTCTTTTTTAAAGTTTGGAGTTCTTATCTCCCAGAAAAGACATCCACTGGAAGTCAATTCCACACCGCCACTTCGCGAAAAGAAATGCCAAAAGAAGCGGACTGTGGATTCCAGCCATCGAGGCAATGCGGATGAAATTTAGAATCATAACAGCTCGTGCGATATAGAAACGAGGCAGCCGGGATGCCCAGCAGTTCTTCAAATCATGCATATTGACGCATTGACCCTGTGTAGAGAGAGAGAATCAAGCCGGTCAGTAATAGATTGAAGATTGACAATCCGACAAGGCCTCAACTGAATTCGGTCAAAAGCAAGAAGCTGGTGAAGAAGGTGGTGGTGGTGGGAGCACCGGCCCAGAGATGTGAACACTATTTCAGTATGAGGTTGTCATTGGTCCTTGTAGAGTTGGATAAGTTGTACCTTTGCGAAATGCTCCATAGCCCTACCCAAAACGCTCACAGCAAGAAATCACATTTAGTTTCTTTCTAAATTTGTATGTTTTAATATGTTTTTTCTTCTTCATGTATGCCTAGAATTCCCTATCACGTTAAAACTACTATTTTGGTCTTACCTACCGATGTGTACCAAGCTTTTCTGAAAAAATAAATACCTTTTCGGTCCTTCAGATGCATCAACATCATCATGGTGCTGACTAAGTGCTGATGAGGTGGGGGCGAAGAAGACGTCGTCAAAATCGACTTCCTCGTGAGGACTGCTCGCACTGCCCCGAAATGATCGCGACCACTGCGCTGACGTCGACTGACGTGATCGTCTCGTCACCGCCTGTGAAAAACATTTAAAAAATGTACAAAATTACACTATTATTGACATTTTATAGAGACATTCGTACGTATGTATCTATTGAGAATTTCAAGGACGTGTGCTTGATTTCGTAAGTGTCAACAAATGTATCGGAAGTCAGATGATCCTTTTATGGAAATCAGGTATATTGAGGGTCCAGGTTTCAAGAAGGCTGTTTTAGTAGTTTTCTAAGAAGTATACACGCATTTCTAGGGGGGGGGATAAAAGTACTTACGTAGTCGACAAGTTCTTAAGTCGGCTTAATTTGTTAAATTATTTTGAGCTTTATTATTATATAGATACTGCTGATTAAATAAAACCATGGCGCTACAACCTTTTTAGGTCTGGGCCACAGATGTCTGTATCTGTTTCATACATTGTCTGGGCAAGTAGGTCATCAGCCTTCTCTACCTGACGCACGCCGTTGACTTTTTGGGTCTAAGGCAAACCGGTTTCCTCACGATGTTTTCCTTCACCGTTCGAGCGAATGTTAAATGCGCACATAGAAAGAAAGTCCATTGATGCACAGCCGGGGATCGAACCTACGACCTCAGGGATGAGAGTCGCACGCTGAAGCCACAACGACAACACTGCTGATTTACATTATACTATTTCATATAGTAATATTACTATTATTATCGTTTGTGGATCTTATGAACTATATCGTATGGTCATGTTTACTCATAAGACTACATACATACTTTTACGAAATAAATCAGTACCCCTTTTTTACTAGAGTACTGTTTCGTCCCTTCCTATCATATTTGTTTTACAGTGTACTGAAAAGAGATAGATGCGTACTCAGTTACAACGTTTCAATCGGAGTTACCTACTTTTTTATATGATTAAAGTGCTAAATAGCGGAACAAGTAAAACATAATAACAGTCTTTCCTCTAATATAATTAAATTAATAATTCATTACTTGTATTTAATGGTACCCTAGATTTTTTTTTGTACCGTACAAGGTTTCTCAGTCTTGACTATACAATCTACCCTAACTCTTGAGTCATTTTATTACAAAATAAGAAGTTGTATAAGTAGAAAAATCTGTTTATTATAAAGTATGGTCAAGATGTAAGAATTTAAAACGTAACATCTAACAAAATATTACCACTCAAGTTCACAAAAAGCCTATTTTAGTATAGTTTCACGAGTGGCACTATAACATTCGGTTCCTTTTTGGGATATTAGCGTAGCCGTGAGCGAGGTTATTTATGATGTCATAACGGTCGAGCCGAGTCGATCCCAAAAGACATCGCTTTTATAATTTATAGCATGAAAATATGCTTACTAATTCATCTCCCACATATTTCGAGGGCACTAAAATGAGAAATTATGGCTTTTGCACTGGAATAAAGGCATTGCAGTCGACTGTCGCTCTTGCATTTCCTACGATGGACGATAATAAATTTGTATAGTATAGTTTGACTTCGACATTTAAATTAAATTTCTTTATAAGGCATAAAAGTAAAAGTTATTTAATATTCAAAACTCCGTGTTGAATAATAAAATCGCGTTCATATTCGTTAAATTTTCTGATGTTTTTTTAATGGTATTTATTGGTTAATTAATTTAAAAAAATACAACTCAAATATCCCATTCAAAAAAAGGCTTATTGAAGTCAAATCAATATTTATTTATTTAATATAGGTCAGCCGATTTGCACCTTAACTTAGATATCTAAACGTACTTTGCACACGCGCTGACACAGCTAACGCTTAATAAGCCACATTTAAATTATTTGCCCTGAATATTGCAGTAAAAAAAATGCTTCTACATGTAGTACTCAATTTATAGACTAGCAATAAACCCTCCGCCACTCAAAGTTTTTGTTTTAAAAAATATTTGTAAGCTGCAACCACGCTCCATGTTTATTTAACAATTGTTTAATTATAATATAGCTCAGATTGTTTCGAAAAGTTTTTCTAGACATTTATTTACAGTTAACTACTATTATTAAAAAATAAATCAGTGCCGCTACAACCTCTTTAGGTCTTGGCTTTCTGAATCTGTTTCATGATCATTTTTAAATCTAATAGGCAAGTAGGTGATCAGCCTCCAGTGCCTGACACACACCGTCGACTTTTTGGGTCTAAGACATGTCGGTTTCCTCACGATGTTTTCCTTCACCGTTCGAGCAAATGTTAAATGCGCACATAGAAAGAAAGTCCATTGGTGCACAGCCGGGGATTATGATTACTAAATAGGATTTTTTAATTATTACCTAAACAAACTAACAATATAAATACTAGACCAACAGTCTCTTTGGCTTCTACGCCTGAACCACTTAATAGATGTTGTTAAATTTACGTTGGGATTGGGCTTTTAGTGAAAGTATAAGAAATATGAAATGTTTGAATGATATGTTCAGAGATTCTAAAAAATTAAAAAGTGCGCATTCTACTGCTTTTTTTTTTTTTTTTTTTTAAAGTCTTTCATATGCAATCAGTCAGTTTGAACTAGAGAGATGTGTTGGGAGCTATTAGGGTTAGAGCAAAATCTCCATCGAGACTGCTCCTCTCTTTCAACCGTGTCTATCAAGACTTAGGATTTTTCGCCTTTAAGCCTATATTAGGGGGGATTTGCGCCTTAAGCCCTTTTTTTTTTTTCCCCTTTTTTTTTTTTTTTTGGCCCCCCCCCTTTATTAGGATGCATTTCTAGCCTTTTTCTGTATTTTATACTCCAGGTCTTGATCTCCTCTTTGACAGTCCTGATTTTGAGGTGCTCATGAATCTCCGATGTTTTTATAAACCATGGACAGTTGGATATTTGTTTCAAGATGTTATTTTGAACCCTTTGTATGATACTTATATTAGAGTCACACGCCGAACCCCATAGTTGAATCCCGTATGTCCAAATTGGTTTCAAGAGCATTTCGTAGATGAGTAGCTTATTATCTACTGACAGTTTGGAATTTCTGCCAAGTAGCCAGTAGAGTCCTCTATATTTCAGGTTGATTTCTTCTCTCTTCTTCTGTATGTGTTTTTTTCCACCCTAAGAGTCTCCCTAGTCCATCAAGGTGTATTCCCAAGTATTTTACACAGTTTTCTTGCGGAAGTTGTTGATTGCACAGAGTTACTGGCGGAAAGTCTCCTACTTGAACAGATTTTGTCACACTAGTTTTTATCCTCCACTTCCGAAAGCCAGGTTTCAATTTCTTGCAATCCAGTCTGTAGGAAGTCTGAAGCTTCTATTGGGCTATTACTACATGCCAGTACAGCAGTATCGTCTGCGAATGTGGCTAATGTGACGTGTTCGCTTTGTGGTAAATCACATGTGTAAATGGTATATAAGACTGGGCCCAGGACAGACCCCTGCGGTACACCAGCTTTGATTGAGTGAAATGGCGATGTACAATCTTCTTCTCTTACTTGAATAATTCATTCTACTGCTAAGTATTTAATATTTTGCTTCTGATACTTAATATTTACCCGAGTTAAATATAAACATAATAAATTTGCGTTATAATATAATTTATCATAGGTCACCTTCACACGTCAAATATTACGAAGTCCTAAACGTCATATTTTTATAGCTGAAAATATAGAAAGCTATTTTATGTGAATTGGTAGCAACGAACCCGAGTATCTATTCCTTTTAAAACACTCGGGTTGAAATGTCGATTCAAAACATTCAGTGTTCACTGACCTGAAAAATACATCGCGGAATGACGGAACGATCTTTGCTTCTGTTTTCCTTAATTTGCTTGGGGTTTTTACAGAGTTTGGATCAAGGTACTCTTAAATATTTGCTTGTGTGTAATAATTATACAATAAGGAAAGCAACAGGCAGCCTTATGGCTCTATATTCTTCTCGATTGATCTTCCAGACAACCATTGTCAGGAAAAATAAAATTGAAAGGAGGTGAGCGCAAGAAGTGCAAAACTACATAAGATATGCAATAACTTGAACCTAAAGAAAAGGGCAAAACAAAACTGTTAGAGATGTATATAAAGATATAAAGATATAGTATATTTGTACAGATATAAAGAATACTAGAGAAGGAGCTAAGCGTCTAGAGACAGGAAGTGAACGTAGCCTAACTGCGGAGACCCGAAAGGATTCATCAAGAAAGGAAGAGTTGAAAAGATGGAATTTCAAAAATCAGACAGCAGGCTCATTTTATCTTAAGTGATCCGCCGCCCATGGACACACACACTTTCATAAGGCCGCAAGAGCGTTACCAATATTGAACATTTATACCTTCTTCTTATAAGCCAAGTGCTTACCTTATAACCTCTATAGACATCGGTGCCTGTAACACACCCTACTAAAGCAATTATCTTAAACACAGTTTGCGATACAACAAATGTGGTAAAGCTTCAAAATAGAATATTCTTAAAGGAGATTGAAGATGCCTTCTGTTTGTTGATATAAGTCAATCAACTCTTCATAGAACTAATGTTGCATGAAGATTATTTCTAGAGTAACTAGTACAAGTTAATCCATTCAACCTGGAAGCTATTATGGCCACAGGTGGCTTAGTTAGCTCTTAACCTAGTTTCGTAGGTTAACCATTTAAAAGTTAACTAAACAAGGCGAGTTCTATCGTGTGTAGACTGTAGATAATAGTTCTTTGTTGGAAAGGAAGAATTGTTGCTGTCTAATGAGTTATAACTTTTTAATAATCCATTCTCTAAGAAGGAATTGAATTGAGATTTTGTCTTATATATTTGTCCTGATTTATCAATAGATCAGCAGTTTAATTAAGAGTTTCTAAGATTCTTTACACCTGACTGGGTTTATAGATATATGGGGATGATAGATTTCCTCTGTGTACGCAACTAACACTAGTTGGTAGTAAGGTAAAGGATGATAACATCGTCATATTTTAAACCCAAACGTCAACGATGAGTATCAGTCACAGAAGGATTAAATATCTTGCCTTAAGATGATGCAGAGCAGTGTTGGCTTAGTGGCTTCAGCGTGCGAATCTCATACCTGAGGTCGTAGGTTCGATCCCCGGCTGTGCACCAATGGACTTTCTTTCTACGTGCGCATTTAACATTTGCTCGAACGGTGAAGGAAAACATCGTGAGGAAACCGACATGTCAGACCGAAAAGTCGAAGGCGTGTGTCAGGCACTGGAGGCTGATCACCGACTTGCCTATTAGATTTAAAAATGATCATGAAACAGATTCAGAAATCTGAAGCCAAGACCTAAAGAGGTTGTAGCGCCACTGATTTATTTATTTTTTATGATGATGATTATATTTCTTCATCCAAAAAATATATGTAGAACTATGAAATCTTTCATAAAGTTTAATTTAGAAATTAGACATTTATTAGACATAACACTTATTACAAACAAAATACACACACAAAATAACAATAATCAAAAAAATATCAAAAATAATTAAAGATAACATTTTTTTTTAAAGAAGACGGTACGTTTTAATTGTGTAATGCGTGTGTGCTGTGGTTGTAATTGGCCCTGACTCAGCATTATGCTGAGGAGCAGAATGTTCCACAGCGCTGGTCATTCTGCCAAAGACCACAGCAGCTAGTTTGCGCCTCAGTCGCAAAAAAATAAAAAGAATGTAATAATAATAATACTTAGTAGAAAAAATAAATTAGCAAAAGTTAGCAATGTAAGTAACGAAGTCTTGTTTAAAAATATATACTTAATAAAATTAAAAATCAGAATAATTGTAAAGAAATAGATAAATAAATATTTTTGGGCTGATTAAACACTAGATTACGTGGCATTTTTGTTGAGTAAATAGATGCTCTTTATAACTGCGACGAATATTTGATTTTAGTCAATTTAATCATTTTTTTTATTTTTTATTAAGCATATACATTCCAGGGTCCAGATAGTCCCTGTCCCAGTTAAATTGATTGACTTTTGGATAATTATTATTCCAATGAATCAAATGAACCTTATTTTCGACTTCGGGTCCTTCAAGAAATGGGTGACTCAATTTTTAAAAGGCCGGCAACGCACTTGCTAGCCTCCTGGCGTTGTGAGTGTCCATGGGCGGCAGTATCACTTAATATCAGATGAGCATCCTCACCGTTTGCCCCCTATTATATAAGACAAAATTATGATTATGCTTACAGTAACAACATAAGAGAGTCCGGTGAGCGTAAGCCGCGCCACGCTGTCTTTCCCGGGTGGGGCGGGCGGCGGGGCGGCTGGCTCGAGCGGCGCCGGCGCTGGAAGCACGTCGGGCCGCTCTCGACTTCGCCCCCGGGCCTCTCTTGGTGCTGCGCCTGATGCTCCGTACATACTAAAAGAGAATGTTTATTTGTCTAAATTAACATAATCACGAAATGATAAAAACCTTGGCTAACACATGCATGTGTAATGTGTATATGTGTTTCAATTACCATAAAAGCAAGTATATTATTAAGTTTTAGCCCAATCCAGTCACAAACAATTGTTCTTTTCTTGACAGTTAAAATTAAATTAGGGCTCGAGTTATATATACTGTGCGCTTACGCAACGGGCGCATTGCGGAGTACCCAAATGTATATAATAAAAAATAATAAGCTTGCACAATGATATCCAATTCATATTAGTTTAGTAATACAAAAATCCCGATGTATAAGGAACATATATTTCGTCTGTAGAGTTACGTAAAATATTATTAGTTTCATGGTCTATAAATTCATACATATAAGCCAATTCAAAACATCTCTAGTAGTCCTTATGAAATAATATGAAGTTACAAATTGCGTGCGAACAAAAGCTTAAACACACATAAATTCTGTTAATACACATTTTATTACTTTGCACGTTTCAACAATATATTCCTCGTACTACTTACCTTCTTTTAGATAAAGACTATCATATAGTCGAGTTAAATGTGACAAGGTACTGAACGAAATTACTGGAGTTACGTTTTAGAGAAATCCTTTGATTCATTTTTTAAAAAAGTAGAGTAATTTTATAAGTATTTTTTTTATCATCTTTTAACGAAGAGTGTCAGTTATTAATCGCCTTATGACTAGACTAATTACTGAACGATATTGCATTTTCTTACGTGTTCCTTATTTTTCAAGAAACAAACTGAAATATGAAAATACCACCGAACAAGCGGTACAATTAAATTTCTTTCATCGAGTCGGTTTTGTAACATGTATGTGTAAAATTAGAATGCCTATTTTTTTAAGCATAGATTTAGGGCACAGCCAGCATTATTTTCCAATAAATATCTAGTGATTATAAAAACAAATTAAATGTTCTCACATATCCTATAAAAATATGCATAACATTCTCATTTTGCAATCCTTTGCAAAATTTCGATGAACACTCGAATTTTCTAGCACCTCGACCAACGTTTCAGGACAGAAATTCTCGAACATTCCGATAACGTCATTCAAATGGAAAGAAAGTAGATGTTTTAGAATTTGCGCTCTCGTCGCAGTTTGAATTTAGAACCCGATTTGAAATGTTTGTGGCCAGTTACGCGTCCATGATGGAATACCGAATTCAAAAAGTTTTTCGCGCTTTCCTCTTTCGGTTTTATTCCAAAATAAACCATGCAGACACTATTTAAATATAGCTTTTACCTTTTTCTAATAGACACTAGATAGAACATTTTTGATACTATCCAAATACAAACTGAATAGTTTATGGAATTTGAAAAATAAACACAATTTGAGAAAAATATTAAATAATATTCTTTATCAATCAATTGTATTGTAATCTTTGAGACATAGGATAGCGTGATATTTTATACAGTCAAATACAGAATGTCGTTACCATAGTAGTTGAAACTTGAACAATGAACAAGAGTTTCTTTGATAGTTTAGTGATGTCAGTATCTAAGCTGGTATAGGATACGTAAGGTAAGGTATTATATACCCTCATTCAAAGTCTAGAACTAGTTAACTCTGGTTAACACTGGCTATTAACACTCACATACACGTAGCCAAAGATTGAATGCTTTTAATTATTATGTATTATAGTATAATAATTTAGATCAATTTGAGACTTTTAAGTTTTGACATATACATTTATTTTAAATAAAAAGATATTCACAGAAGATATTAGTACTGTCTTAAAATCTATGGAACCGTATACGAGAACGACAATAGAATTTAAATCTTGTTTCACGAGCTGTCAAACCTTTTTTTCTATATACAAAGTTTGACTACATTACTAGACATTGACATGGCTCACGAAGAGATTGATTAATATACAAATATGAAAGCGGGTCTATAAAACCAATAACAAATAAAGAAATATTCATACAAATTAAAGCAGTCTCATTGCACTGTATTAGCTAAAGGATTCGTTTGTCTTTAATCATCACAACCTAAACACAATATGACAGAAAGGGACGAAAAACTTCAGTTAAGTGCAATTAGACTGATTTAGTTTTTATGAATAATGAAGGGATTTATGCTTAATTATCTAAATAACTTAGTTGCCGTTAGGTCTTAATGAACAACTCTAGGTAGCGATAATTGTGGATAGAACTTAGTTTTAATTACAAACGCCGACGTCGATGATGATGTGCAAGAAATTAAGTTTAACACAATTCGTTGGAGTTTCAAAAACGGGAAACTGAGTTATAAAATTATGTTTTGCATTTATAAAAAATTTAATGGTGCCAAGAAACTTTATAAATTAAGTTTCGAATATTAAAGTAGAAAAATACTTGGAAAAGAAATACTATTGGAGTAAAATTAAACATAATAAAAGTTGTCGTGAGTTCGTACTTTATTACATAGTAAGTTATGATTTGTTTCGACTTAATCAGAAAGTTTTATTTACAGGCTTTTTATTTTTTACGTATTACGTTAGTATAGACAAAGAAAATCCTAGCCGCTCGGCCCCTACAGCTTAGTGGATAAAGCGAAGAGTAAGGTTCTATATCCAACAATATTAAAATTTAATTAGTAGGCATTAAAATTTAATTTAATTTTAAGTACATCCAAATGAGACATACATTAGTAGGCAGACATTGCTAGGGAATCAAAAATGTTGCAAATTTTTATTTAAAAAAAATTATCCACTGTATTTAAACCGCTAAATATATATTGAAAATGTACTTACAAAGGTACATTACGTATATAATAATTGATGTTGGAAACTTGCAAAAATATACTAGTTATACAACGACAAAGTTAACGTAAACTTCAAAGTTCGCTATGTTAGGAATTAACAAAGATATTTATAAGCTTATTCCGGGAGAGTCGGGATAAGTTATGTTTGAAACTTAGCTTTAAATAAACATGTACACCTTACGAGTAACGAGTCGTTAATACAGCTTTTATTAACGACTCGTGTTACGTTGGATTTCCTCGCTGAGAATATAAGTACCGACTGTTTATATGTCCTTAATTTTTACTATGACACTTGACACATGTGATAAAAGTAAAGATAAAGCTTACCTAATATCATCATCATCCGGATGATAATCCGGTGGTAGGTCAATTCGAAGATCGCCCAAGGTCCGGGCCGCATGCCGCCTCCGCCTCTCATGCCACAGTCTTCTTTGTTCCCTTTCATTATCTTTTTGTACTCCGAAAAACGTCTGCGTTTCCCTTTTCAGGTAATCTCTGACGGCAACTGTATGGGCCCGCCGTAATCTTACGCCGTCTTCTTGCGTCGGTTGGGGATTTTGTTCAGATGGCAGTTGGGGTACGGGGGGCACTGAAACTATTCGAGGGGGTGATGCGGGGGCAGGGAGAGGCGGTGCTGACGCTGCCGGTCCAGGGGAGTTTTGGCACGCCAACTGAGGGGCGAGTAGGCTTGCACTCGACCGCCTGTAACAAGATAATTGTGTGTGTGAGAATTTAGCATTTTATTGTAAGTAGCAAAGTAATTTTACATTCAGATCATTCAATTGTAACATTCAAGATCATAATTATACAGCTGTATTGTAGTTTAATTTTTATAAAGATGTTTAGGCTTAAATAGGAGTTACAGATGAAACCTATCCCACTATCTTAGCTTGTTCTCTGACCGATCCGTTTCTAAATATTAACTTAACTTTAAATCACGAATAAAAAAATGTCATTGACTTTGGCAATTGTTAACTTTTACGGATTAACGTTACAAATGAACTGCGAATATGAAATATGGTTTGAATATTTTATTACAAAGAATAAAGCCAAATATAAATAAAACTAATAGAGGACGTCACCAAACAACTAACGAACAAATTAAGCCGACGTTCATACGCGTGAATATTGACAAATTAAATTTGTGTATTGATTAAAAATGTTTACTTAATTCTATTCATATTTGCAATAAAATGTAGGGTGTGACGAGTTTGGCCCCAAAATATAACTAAACGAGTTAGGCGATTCCGGTTTCATTAAGACTCGTGGTGTCCAGAGCACCACCTCCTTAGACCGTCGCTGGTGATGGACTGACTCTAAGAACTCATGACTGACATGTATTTTATTGATTCTTTTCATAGCCAAGTATCTGAAGGGCCTGACATACGTCGATTTTAAGTCTGTACCAATGTTTTCTTAATTTGACCAACGTATATAACGAATGATTCAGAGTCGTTTTGTAAAACGGTCTACGAACTAAACTGAATTGCGGGGTAGCCAAATTTATATCGTATTCAGAAACTTATCTCACCTATTTATGATTTCGGAGAATTTTTTACTAGTCTGTGTAACCAGATAAAATGTAATGGAGTATAAATTAATTAAAATCATATTTCGCCAAAGCTGCCTTCTATTGTTTTTGTTATGATTTCAAGATTTTTTTTATTACTCTATGTATCCAGATAAAATGTAAACGTCTAAATTAATTGAAGAATCTAGCATAGAAATCTTGTATAATATTATATATATTGTAATAATATTGTACATTGATGGTCCTAGATTGTCATAGTCGTACTCAATCACCGCTTTTCATCACTAAACATGAAATAAACGTTAACATTAAAACATCTACGTTGTAGCCAAGTTTTAGTTTGAGTGCCCCTGAATACAAATAAGAGACCCACCTCAACCTGTCTCACATTCGCACTGGCAACTGTTATCCATAAACCTTGATATTTAATTAAATGTTCCTCATGCCATATTCTAGATATTGGTGAAAATCACAATACATTCTTTTTTTTTAAACAGAAAGACTAAAACTCATTTTACCTTACCATATCCTTCGACAATTGACAAAGGTCCAAGTAAGAATTAGTATATGTTTTAATCTGAGTCAAGGTCAGTTGAACATAGTCCGTTATCATTACTTTAATTTTTTCAAATTATTCGACCGTATGAAACAATTCGTTTGTACACTAACAAAGGCGAGTTTAATAACAAGGTTATCTCAACAACCCGCCTGCTAACCGCAGGTTTCATCTCGTTCTGCTCAAATAATTACTCTTCATTATAAATATATAAGATCAGAATTTTATTGTTGGGCACACTGAATTTCTAAATTATTGAAATTAGACTTCATAATCAGTATTATTAATGTCATTAAGTAATGAATAGATGTCAGTGCTATAACTAGAGCCATTACGCTAACTTGTACACGGCACGAGCAAATGTGTATGCCGAGAGAGTTAATATCTATTCAAACATCACAGACTATACCAAATATATTACCAGAGATACTCTTGACACCAATTCTATGGAGTCTATGGTTTCTAAAAGTCCAAATCTATGTAACACAGGTTGGATCCATAGATAATTATGTAGGTTACTCTTATGTATGTGACAGTAAGTTCCACACATGTATCCGACCTTATTTATTCTGGGTCCTGTGGGCTTAGAATTCCCGTTTGTGATGTACTTCATAAAATTTTTACATGGCAAGGATAGTACTACAGTGCCTTAGCTTCAATGTGCCTGATGGGTACGTCAGAAGGCGACATCGCCCGCCGCGGCTGTCCTGCCCACAGCTAGGACTACCCTTCTGAAAAGGTCTCATATGATTCGGTGTATAAATTAAGAAACTAATTACATAGATTCAAACAAATAAATACAAAAGGTCCGTTACCTTTTTCATTGTCCGTTGAGTGAACTGACTAAAGTTCTATTATTTGTTAGTGCCTGTTAGGAAATTTTGTTAGTGCCTAATTAATTATGTATGTTTTTTGCTTCCCTGTAAATTTTATTCACTTGTTGTGCACTCTTGTAAATTTAGGTAGTGTCACCTAATTTACACTAGGACAGGAGTGTTTTTATAAATAAATAAAAATTAATAAAGTTTAGTTCAATTCAATTAGAAAAGAATTCAAGAAAAAAAATGTAACTACGTTATTGTTCAAATCAATGTATAAAATTGCATACTGCATTGTTCTACGATAATAGATGTCGACAAGAGCACTACTCTATAACAGTATAATTCCTAGTACCTTGTTCATTACTGTGCCGTCATCGTCAACTATCCAGATTGATTCGGTATTTCCGTCTGCAATTCAGCACTAAATCAATGATTGGAAGTTTAACGCTAGAGCAAATAGTACAGCAGAACTGTTAGGAATTAATACTCTTATTTCTCTTTCTAGTTTTTTACAACTATAACTAGTCATATTTTTTAGTCCTTTGACTGATAATGCTAAGTTATATGTATGTACTGCCTTCGTGAGAACTAATGTATGCAGGTAATACAATTATTTAAGAATTCCGTTGCGGGTAGGCGCATGTTGAATATCGAGTCCTCGCAAAATAACCAATTAAAAATAGAAATAAGTGAGAATACACAATAAAAAGTAAATATTGAAGTGAATCAGGAGAAGATATACTATAGGCAAACGTATCTGCCTCATTATCAGTGTAAAAAATAGAAAAATATCACGTTTTAATTTGTGCTATCTTGACTTCGATTTCGGTGACTTTTCGTTTTGACTAAAACAATTAAAAGTGCGTGTACAAATCAAGTGATTGCATCAAGTGCAAGTGACTTATAATAAGGATCAGTCAATTTTTGTTGATATCACTACAAAAAGAAGAAAAAACCATGACTTTGTATCTGTGATGTTAAATGTGTGTACTGTGTACGTCACTCTTTGTAAACGTCACTCAAGAAAGAAACTGTTCAAGTAATTCGTCCATCTCGTCATACAGTACCTCGGCGTCGCAGATAAGCTGTGTTCCGGAATCGAACATTTCTATCGGCCTAAGTTCAAACCTATATACGGGATATTGAAAGTTCAATTATTTTTAATTTTTGTTTTATAAATTTATATAGATATCTAATTTATTTCTATACATACATATATATAGAAAACTAAAAAAAATAATAATAATAATAATAATAATAAAAACATAAACATAAAAATAAAAATAAAAAAATATATATAATAATAATATTAAAAAAAAAAAAAAATGTCTGCAATCTGGGAGTAATAGAATGAGTGCCTCAAAGAAAAAGTTAACTCAGCAGGTACTTCATCCAAGCCTGCTCAACACAAGACCTAGATCGTCTTCAGTAGGAAGTTTAAAGGATACAGACTCGAAGAATTTATCTTCGATATCCACCGTTTATGACTGTGACCCAACAATAAATGATGATACCAACAAAGTTTCTCCCCCCCCTCCTTCCTGGCAAAGAGTTCCAACAGACCGCTATCCCAAAAGAAAAAGACTATCAAACAGTCCACCGCGTAGTCAAATACCGCCTAACCAAAAATCACAAGTAACAATTAGTACTTCAAACAGATATAATCTATTACCTGTAGATCTAACCGAGAAGGAAAGAGACGACTCGTCCACTAACGCCAAAAAAATTTACAAACCACCGCCTATAATCTTATATGGGATAGAAGATATATCTAAATTAACAGAACTTATAAACAAGACGATACCCCACGAAAGCTACTCATATAAAGTTATTAATAGAGATCAGCTAAGAGTTATGGCGCAGTCAACCGAAACATATAAAAACTTGATAGAACTTATCCGCAGCAATGGCCTTATTGGTCACACATTCACACAGAAGCAGAACAAATGCTACAGGATTGTTATAAAAAACCTGCATTATACCACCCCTCCATCAGCTATAATAGAAGAAATTGAAAAAACAGGAAACATGGTACGCGGTGAAATAGTTTACGCCATATCTAGAAAAAATAAGAAGCCCTTAAATATGTTCTTTGTAAACGTAGAACCCAGTATCAATAACCCTGAAATAAAAAATATACAATATATTTACCACACTAGAGTTACAATAGAAGATCCAAGAAAGTCTACCGAAATAGCCCAATGTACCAGATGCCAACAATATGGTCACACTAAGAATAATTGTATGCGTCCCTATAGGTGCGTTAAATGTACACAAGGGCATAAAACTACAGATTGCCCAAAAAAGGATAAAAACACACCAGCTACTTGTACTCTTTGCTTTGGTGAACATCCAGCTAATTATAAAGGCTGCCAAGTGTATAAGGAGATCCGTGCTCGAAAAATGGCTAACTCAGGAAAAGGAAAAGTCCCTGTAGATAAGAAGCCTACCAATACATTTGAAGCCCAAATAGGTGACTTCCCTCCATTAAAACCCTCCAGGTATAATAGACTACAATCCTCAAATAACCAGGATAATAACAATTCGTACATACCGGAAAATGGGCCTAGCCCAGCAAACACTCGTAGCTGGAATCGAAATATAGAGAATAGACAAACTCAGCCAACGAGCTCTTTAGAGCAAATCATAATAAAACAGTCAGAAAAGATTGACATCCTCATCCAACAAATAGGGACTCTTATGAGTCTACTAACGACAGTAATAGCTCAACAGCAAAAATGAAATTCCTACGTATCGCGACATGGAACATAAATGGCTTACTCCCAAATAAGCAAGAAGTCGAGGTTTTTATAAATCACAATAAGATAGATATTTTACTGGTCACTGAAACGCATATGATTGACCAAAGAATAATAAAAATGAAAGGATACAATGTATACTATGCTAATCATCCAGATGGTACATCTCATGCTGGGGCAGCTGTTATAATTAAGGAAAACATTAGACATCATATCCTGCCACCATTCAAACATGCGCACATACAAGCCGCTATAATAGCTGTAGATGACTGATGTCCACCTAGACACCGGATAGATGAGCATATGTATAATGACTTTTTCCATACGCTCGGCTGCAAATACATTGTAGGAGGAGACTGGAACTCTAAGCACACGTTCTGGGGCTCACGACTAACAACAACAAAAGGCCGGGAGCTGAAAAAGTCTATTGATAGTAATAACCTTAGTGTAATATCAACAGGTGAACCAACCCATTGGCCAACAGACCGAAAAAAAATGCCAGATCTTATCGACTTCTTCATCACTAAAGGGATATCTGGGCTCTACACTAAAGTCCAATCGTGTCTAGATGGCTCCTCAGACCACACACCAGTTATCTGCACACTAAGCACAACAGTTATTTACAAAGAACCACGGGAGACTTTATACAACCGTAAAACTGACTGGGAAGCCTTTCGAGAATACATTGAAGATAATGCTAACCTACGCATACCCCAAGTGAAAATGACATAGACGACACAGCTTGGCAAGTTACTAATCTTATACAAAAAGCAGCATGGCTATCGACCCCATATATAGAACCTAAAACACAAAGTCAGGACATACCGTTGGAAATAAAATATCTTATTGCTGCGAAGAGAAGACTAAGACGACAATGGCATACCAGCAGGAATCAGCAAGATAAAAAAGCGTTGAATAAAGCCCAAAAAGATTTAAAAGAACTACTCAAAGAAAATGAAAATCGTACATTGCAAGATAAACTACAGACATTGTCGCCATATAAAGCTGACGATTATTCACTCTGGAAGATGACGAAATCATTAAAAAGGCCAAAAGAACACATGCCCCCTTTAAGACAAGCTAATCGCGAATGGGCACAAAAACCACAGGATAAAGCGGAGCTGTTTGCCAACTTTCTAACGGATGTATTTGATGTATTTGACACCTAACGAACCGGACATAATGCAAACCGAAGACGAATTTGATGAAATCATAAATAGTGATCAATAAATGTCTTTACCACTAAAACTTGTTAAACCGTCAGAATTAAAAAAAACTATTAATAATTTAAAACAAAAAAAAGCACCCGGTTTCGATCTTATTACCGCAGAAGTACTTAAAGAACTACCGAAAAAAGGTATCGTTCTGTTAACAATCCTCTTTAACGCAATATTAAGACTACAATATTTCCCAAAACTATGGAAGGTGTCCATTATAAACATGGTTCCAAAACCTGGAAAACCTCCAACAGAAGTTT